GGTTTTGCCTTGAAAGAAGTAATGAATTCAGTGGTTCAGGTGGCGTTGTAATTTGCGGTAATTTGATCTTTCTACTGGCACAATATAATCCGGTCGAAACCTCAAAGCTGAAGGAATTCTGTGCAGTATTGGACTCGTTCATCAACTTTTTGAAGACACTCGGGTTTACATTAGAACCTGCCGTTTTCTTGTTCCCAAAAAATACTTTCTCATTGATTCTTATACAACGTTTTGTTTCGGAGAAATTATCACAAACTATACTTTTTTCGAGACTTTTTTATACGGCCCGTGGAAAAAGTACGCACTGTATTTAGTAGCATTTTTTATTACGAATACAACTATGTACGTCACACAAATAAAACCAAAAGTTGGAAATTGTTGGTTTCAACAGGATGGTGTACCCGGGCACAACGTCTTAATCGTTCAAGCATACTATCGCGCGGGTGCTGTCTTGTAGAGTTCAAAAAGTGGAAATGAGAGAGTGTCTTTTGTCTTTCTTGTTGTATCTGTTCAAATAACACCAGCAAAAAATAAACAAAAAATCGGTACCTAAGTTTCGGTTTTTCTGTCATATCTTCGGAAGTAATCGGATTATTTTTGTTTTCTCTAAAGCACGATAATAATGGTTTAATTCCGCATCTTTTCTCTAATTTGACCATCATCGTATCTTCTATGGTTTCGATCTCCATGATAGACATCCTTATCTTAGACACTCTTTCCAAGCGAGAGAAAGTCCGTACCAATGAGTACCTCGTCGTACCTACTGTCGTTTATTGTAAATCTTAAATTACTTCTTAAACCTTTGGTAAATTTAATCCCTTTATGGCTTAATTGTATGTTGGGTCGTCCTCAGAGGCACAGGTTGGAATGAATTGTGTAGTCACGGCAAACCTTGCCCTTTTTAGAGCATTTCCACAAAAATTTAAAAAAATGCGCTGTTGTGGTCACTGTCCGTCCGTCCGTCCGCTCGTTCGTTGAGACGCTACTAGTTCTTTATCTTAAGTGCTATTGTTCTACTTTTTTCGCTATTTGGTTCGTTATGGTGTCGAGGCTTGCACCAAGGAAGGAATTTTTTCTTCGTTTAATGCTAAAAAAGTTATTGTAAAAAAACAAAAAACCGTTTTTTACATGTTCCATAATTTTACACTTTTACCGTTTATTAACGATCCTAGAGATCGTTTATAAATTTGTATTGCTGTCTGTCGTTTGTCTGTTCGTCTGTTCCTTTGTCTGTCCGTCCCTCTATCTGTCCGTGTGAACGATAATTTTGTTTAGAAATGTCCGATCGCTTTTAGATCTCCGTTAGTTATGTACTAAATTGCATGAAATTCAATATGGACATAGCTTTAGCCATATAATACGCAAAGCCAAAAGTTGAGTCGAATCGATTCAAAATTCACAGTGCCCTTTTCGCATCTCGACCATTTATAAACCGAATTGCAAACTTTTTTTCTTATAAAAGTATTTGAATGAAATTTGATACATAGGCACTTGGAATAAAGGAAAATCTAACGCCAGTTTCAGAATTCGGTTTTGCGCATGCGCAGTGCCAACTTTTTTATTTATGGAAGCATTTAAACGAAATTTGATACATAGGCACTTGGAATAAAGGAAAATCTAACGCCAGTTTCAAAATTTGGTTTTGCGCATGTTCAGTGCCAACTTTTTTATTTATGGAAGAATTTAAACGAAGTTTGATACCTAGGCACTTGGAATAAAGGAAAATCTAACGCCAGTTTCAAAATTTTATTTTGCGCATGCGCAGTGCCAACTTTTTTATCTATGGAAGCATTTAAATGAAATCTAATGCATAGGCGCTTGGAACAATAGAAAATCAAACGTTAGTTTCAAAATTTAGGTTTGCACATGCGCAGTGTCAACTTTCTTATTTATGAAAGCATTGAAATGAAATTCTTCTTATAAACTGAAATTGAAGTAGCATCATTGAATTTATAACTATAGTTATAAATTCAATGGTAGCATGTCAAAAATGGATTGCACATTATGCAACGCTATCTTTCATATTTGTGGCCGGATTTTTACGATTTTAACAGAAGTTGCATCTTACAAATAGGAAATGAATGCAAGCGGAAATGCGCTTTTTGTAAATCGTTTACGATTACTTTTTTAACATGTTCAATCGGATAAAGCGTTAAGCCGTTAAATGTTATTTCTATTGTAGATAAAAATTAGATGAAAACAGCTCGGAGTAAATCTTTAAACATCTGCATAGTTAAACATTCTGTAACATTTTTGGACTGGACGTGAGATATAATTAAAATCGAACTTCGCACGTCAGTGCGTTTGATCGCTCAATCATAATACAAGGTAAAGAGCTAGCTAGGTTGTTTTGGTGTTTTGCGTACCTACGGTCTTCTGGTTCTCTTCTATGAGTCATTTTTATGACCAGTACCAGTAACGTCGGACTTGTGGAATTTGGTTTCAATCAACCATAACGACGAATGCGCTGTCATTTTACTTCGTTTAAAAATATTTGTTTAAATTATACAAAGAATTGCAATTTTTCTCAATCGAGACATGATGTTTTTGTGTTTACTTTTATGTCAAATATCAAACTAGCACCAACATCTACACTACACAACTGACAACGTTGCAAACTGTAATATTACTAAAAAGTTACTAGATATTTAGGGAATGCATAAACATGAGAGGTTCCACCCTGTATATACAACTTACGACGATGCACACATTTTTGAGAGTTGGCAGCTACGCGACTTTTAGGTGGGGAAAAACTGCTAGCGCCTCTGGAGAGCACGAACGTTGGTTACGTTTGACATCTTGTCTTGAATGGCGGTTGTGAACGCGTCGCTCCATAAATGTTTGTTGTTATTTTATGTTATTTAATGCAGGTAGTAATTTTTGCATTACTTTATATCGTATTTGTGTTTTGTATACCGCATTTTATTTTTTGTGTGTTTCCATCTTTGTTTTTGAAATTTACTTGGTTTAACCGCAATGCAGAATGACATGTTTAATACCGTTATCCTTTTGTTTGTAATCGTTTACGTTTTTGGTGGGATTAATCTATGTTTCTGTGTTGATTACTTGGTCCTGTCCGAGAAGTAATCATGCGGGGGCGAGATTATGCTAATCAAAACTCTTCGGTTTAGAATCTGTGTGCGATAAATGAGTTACAATTGCTAATTTCCACATATTTTTGCCGATAGTAGGCCATGTAATTTTCCATCTTGCTTTTAACAAAAGGACTTCATTGCACCAAAGATGAGTCACATCCTGTACATTGTTCCCAAAATTTGTTTTTAACCTTGAGTGTAACCAACATTGTGTATATGCCTTTACTATCTATCAAGGTAAGGGTAAGTATTGTGTCACGTATTCGAAGAAAAGTTTAAGTTTCACGAAGTAAAGAAATTGCGTTTCAGTTTATTGTTTTTTTGGATTATGAACATTACAAGGTAATTTAGACTTTATTGAACCTGTTTTGATCAACCGCCTATGTTGCGCAGTATGTGTTTCTGGCTCTGAGTGCCAATTTTTCTTACAGCAATTTTTGAATAAATTTGTGTGGCGTCTATGATCTAAATCAAGCATGTGCTGTATACTTTTGTGTTCAAAGAATGAGCTCAAGTTACGACCCTGGATTTTAAGAATGTCATGTTCATTGTTTTTGTGGACTTAAGTTACCGTTTGTTGTTGCACATAGAAGTAGTTTTAATACATAGTGGTAGTAGAAGCCGTGAAAGGCCTCTCAATCTTCTAAAAAGTAGATCGTCTTGAAAGAAAATCAGTGTCATCCGAGTGTTTCAGGATCTTGAAAGATCTCATAAAGTCGTGGAATGTGGTACACGTCCGAAAGGTCTAACTATTTTGGGTTCATGAGAAAGTTGAAGGGGTTCTGAAAATAAAAATGTTTCGAGTAATTTCAATTTTATATATTAATAAAGAACACAAATCAAAATATCCAGTACATTTGTAGTACAGAATGAATAATTGTAACATTGCAATTATAAACGAATCAATAAATTTAAAAAGAGAAACTCAAATATCTGATAACACAATACGATCACAGATAAACAACTGCCAAATGTAAACATGCATAACTTTATCCTTTGTTTAGTTATCCACTGTAAAATTACACACTTGGATTGATATGAATTATATCAACGCATTTGAAAGATGTATACAATGTAAATTCAATTATTTAAAAACATTTAGCTAACTCTAGAGGTACCAGACCGGGCGCCACTTAAACTGACCGCCGACATTCATTTGTGAGAGTTGAATCGGTCAAATACAAAAATTCATCGAAATCCCTGTTTACGTCTTTGTGGCTAAGTTAAAACGGTGAACCGAACAAGTTTTAAGGAAACTGATATGTCTTACAGAGGGCGTAATGAACGAAACGTAACCAGGAATCCTTCGGGCGGTCAATCCAAGGGGCGCCCTCCGGTACTGAGATTAATATTAAAATGGTCACTGTTTCTGTAACACAGTGATAGTACTAAAGTATTAAAAGTCTAACATCCCAATACTTCAGTGCATTATCATATAATATATTAAGTTAGGAAGTATGAAGGCATATAGATAGTTTTTTTTTATATTTATACAATTTCAAAATTTATTTTCAAAAAAATGTGACACCTCACGTCGGTTTTTAAATCGGTTCATGCTATACACTTCATTCAACATCCGACGTGAGCCGTCGAGAACATTACAAAAAGCTATTAAAAATGAGGGATAGCTATCACAAATAATCAGCGAACTTCATTGCTTGGGAAGAACCAAGCCACTGGAGAATGCTCAACATTTACAACGGCATGTAGCGACAGACAGACGTTCATATTTCGATCGTCGCAGAAACTACTTCACATTTTAAGGGGGCGAGCGCGCAGAAGTTCGGGATATGCCTAACTAATCACTTGATTGTTTATTGCTTTATTCCACACCCATTTCTGCCATTGACTCTGATTCGGATCACGAATTTACATGCACTTGAGGAGGTAGCCATGTTAGTTGTCTCGTTTGTTTTGTGGTGACTTCCGTCGACTTAAAAAGATAAATTTTCAGGTACGTATTTCGTAGAACCTTCTCGGTGGTAAACCACAAAAATTTTTTTTTTATCCGAACGCGTGATGAAAGTCGCAAAATTTGCGCAGCAGAGTACGCCATTTGACAATTTTTGTTTATGACAGTGATTAGTGCGGCAGATCTCCAAACGTATTTCCAATAGAAGTAACCAATTACATCTGTTTTGAGTACAAATACAAAAATTACCAACAGTTGTGAGTTGCACGATGGTGCAAGATTCTGATTACATGTTAGAGGTTAAAACCAGTCATGACTAGTATTCTTTAGCAGACCAGGCATGTGCTGTTAAAATCTGAGACAAACTGTACCTCGAACTGTGGCCAGAACCTGCCTCGCATTCGTACTCTCGCCCTTTGTTGATCGATCAGTATTACACAGCGCGTTAAAAAATATGTAACTGTTCAGTAATAGTTGTATAAAAGTTAAGGGACGTTACATGAAACTTTTGATATTTACTAGTGATGGTATTCCAAAATAATAATAATCGGAACGCTTTGTACGATTTTCCAACGTAAAATTATCAAAATGACGTACATTTACTCGTATGCAATGATTGTCAAAAACAATATTGCTGTGTTCAAACTGCATAGGCGGCTTCGTTCTAGTGACTACAATATCACCAGGGTAGATGGGAAAATCGTACAGAGTGCGCGCCAAGTCGTCTTTCAACGGAAAACTGTGGTAAGAAGAAGTTTACCGACTAACATCACTATATTTATCCTAACTTTATCGATAGTTGGTTTGAGATATTTCCTATGCAATAACTATATTTTCATAATATTTTATATTTATAATATAATAAATTTACAGAATTCAATAAGATTAATAGATATTATATAATTTAACACACTTGCACGCGTAACAGAAGTCCTAGCATTCATACCAACTCTGTGTCGGAGTGAAGCGGATTTTTTGTCCGTAACTGTCTTGAACTTGCATTGGTCATGAACGGAGAAAATTCTTAACGTACGTAAATTAAACGATTCACATGTATGCGAAGATTTGAACAGGGGCAACAAACACTTAATATATTTATACACATATATACAGCTCGGACACAGAGCGATTTTGTACAATCAAAGAAAAAACAATAAAACTTAATAAGTACAAGTCGTAGCAAAGATGTGTTTGACGAGAAAAAGAAGTTTCATAACAATAATAGAGAGATACAATGTAATTGATCCGCACGATGAAACTCTTAATTTCGCATTAGTTAAATATTTATATAGCAATATCTTTTACATTTAAATTAATACACACACTTAGTGAACATGATTAAAATGAGTGGCGATGATCGATGACGATAATAATGTGGCGATCGACAGGTAAGTATGGCACGCTTTTATCACTCACGACGTGCAGTTGCGCAGTACAAACCTCACAATACACACTGCGACAACCACGTCATTCTAAATTTTTTTTCACTACTGCTCCACTGAATACAACACGAAAATTTGGATATCTACCGCTACAAACCCGGTTCTCATTTGGAATGTAATTTATTAACAATGCGACAGAAGGACAGTAGTATGTACAGTGAGGTCCGCACAGCGGAAATGTTGTACAAAGGGGAAGCAGACCAGCTACTTGTTCAAATTAATGTGAACGAGCCTGTCGTCCCAACAATGAAAATTACTAAAAGCTAGTAGAGATGTAACATGTAATAAGGTGAGCGCCATCAAAGGTCGAACAACCTAAAATACGTGGCGAGGTTAAGGAGACGGCGCGCGCGTCGACTCACCCGTGATTAAGCAATGTGATGCTATCAGTTATTTAGTTTAGCTCACGAATGCGCGTTCGACTGAGTGTGGTTATGATCTTGTGGTGGCTCCTCCGCGGGCGAGGGCGGAGCGTCCTTACGCGGAGGCATACGTTCGTTAATCGCGTCCAGACCTTTCGCCTCCGCGAAACTGGTTATCTTATGGTTTGGCGAGAATCCTTGCAGCGCTAAAACAGATAGTTAGTCAACGCAATGCAACTTAACACGGCTAGGTACCGTTCTTCAAGCTCGTCTTGCCACCGGACAGCGCCCCGAGCGGCAGCGCGCCCGTCGGTGTGAGCCCTTTCAGTTGAAGCACCGACTCGCTTTCCTCCCTGCAACGAGAGCGAGTCAACACGGGTTCACCCAGTCGAGCGATTCAACAAACCTCAAAACTGAGAATACCCTAGCCATTTTGCCGATGGCCCTGATTTTATTGCGAATGACTTCCTTTCGAAGATTGGCTGCTGTACCTAAAAATGAAGCGGACGTTAGCGAGACATCTATCGGCCGCGGGCACACTACGAGCACACGTTCTAAACTCTAGGTACAGCGTTACAAGGCAAACGTAAACAAAGAAACCAAGTTATGTTCCATCGTTCCTCTCTTATTTTCTCGAGGAAACAGCCGAGGATAATAGTTTTACCTTTGATTTAATCTCTACTGAATGTAACCCTAATCGTGCAATTCATGATTTAGCAATTATACAGAGCGACATGCGTTCCTTATCTCCTATTCAAGCGTTAGAAGCAGCGCTATCGATTTACGTTCAACTTGATCGACAACGCTACCTTACATATGCAGCTGGTTGACAACTAAAGCCTTTTTTTTCATGTCTGCGTGGGCAAAAATCGGGATTCGATTTTGCTCGAATCTTATCAAGGAACGTACCGATAAGTGGGCCTGGATAAGCATCCGAATGTTTCAAATCAAAGCACTCCATTAGGGGGCAAAAACGGCGCACACAAACACAACATTTTTCTTTGCTCTTTACTGCAGAATAAGGTTGACCAAAAAATAGTGCTCGAATCTTATCAAGGAAAGACCCGATAAGTGCGCGTCCAAATGTTTTAAATCAAACCACTCCGTGAGGAGGGGCAGGGAGGGGCAAAAACGCCGCACACAAACACAAAATTTTTCTTTGTTCTTTACTGAACAGAATAAGGTTGACCAAACAATAATGCTCGAATCTTATCAAGGAAAGTCCCGATAAGTACGCGTGGATAAGCATCCAAATGTTTTAAATCAAACCACTCCGTTGGGAGGGAAGGGACAAAAACGCCGCGCACAAACACAACATTTTTCTTTGTTCTTTACTGAAGAGAATAAGGTTGACCAAAAAATAATGCTCGAATCTTATCAAGGAAAGTGCCGATAAGTGCGCCTGGATAAGCATTCAAATGTTTAAATCCAAGCACTCCGTCGAGGGGAGGGGGAGGGGCAAAAACGACGCACACAAACACATTTTTCTTTGCTCTTTACTGAAGAGAATAAGGTTGACCAAAAAATAATGCTCGAATCTTATCAAGGAAAGTGCCGATAAGTGCGCCTGGATAAGCATTCAAATGTTTAAATCCAAGCACTCCGTCGAGGGGAGGGGGAGGGGCAAAAACGACGCACACAAACACATTTTTCTTTGCTCTTTACTGAAGAGAATAAGGTTGACCAAAAAATAATGCTCGAATCTTATCAAGGAAAGTGCCGATAAGTGCGCCTGGATAAGCATTCAAATGTTTAAATCCAAGCACTCCGTGGAGGGGAGGGGGAGGGGCAAAAACGACGCACACAAACACAACATTTTTCTTTGCTCTTTACTGAACAGACTAAGGTTGACCAAAAAATAATGCTCGAATCTTATCAAGGAAAGTCCCGATAAGTGCGCGTGGATAAGCATCCAAATGTTTTAAATCAAAGCACTCCATTGCGGGAGGGGGGGGGCAAAAACGGCGGACACAAACACATTTTTCTTTGCTCTTTACTGAAGAGAATAAGGTTGACCAAAAAATAATGCTCGAATCTTATCAAGGAAAGTCCCGATAAGTGCGCGTGGATAAGCATCCAAATGTTTTGAATCAAACCACCCCATAGAGAGAGGGGAGGGCAAAAACGACGCACACAAACACAAAGTTTTTCTTTGCTCTTTACTGAACCGAATAAGGTTGACCAAAAAAGAATGCTCGAATCTTATTAAGGAAAGTCTCGATAAGTGGGCCTGGATAGGCATCCAAAAGTTTTAAATCAAACCACTCCGTGGGGAGATGGAGTTGGGGGGGCAAAAACGCCGCACACAAACACAACATTTTTCTTTGCTCTTTACTGAACAGAATAAGGTTAACCAAAATAATTTTAAAAGCTATTTTACACACAAATACAAACTTGTATCCTGTTACTCCCCCGACACCAATAGTTTTTTTTTTAATATAGTCGATATTTCCAGACTTTGAGATTGAAGAATTGCAAAACTAATATTTTAATAAATCGTAGGCATATTTCAACAGCTGTCGCAAACAACTGCATGACATAGGACATACCCCCCACAACCCCAGTACTACATACTTATCTAAAAACATAATTTTAATAATCTACAAGATTATTTTCGAGAGAAGATAATCGGCTATAATCAAGTGCGCTATGGAATCTTCCCCACGAAAGTAAGATTCGACTGGCCCTTCTCAAAGAAGAACCGGGGGTATGGAATGCCACCCAGTATACGAATATTAGATGATCTTTTCCCGAAGATTACCATGGGAAGGAGTAACGGAGAAGGTTAATTGAGCCTTCATGTGCTGTAGGGTATTTCTGGAAGGTATTCAATACGGATCCTTCGTAGGAAAGAAAGATTCGACTGTTCTTTCCTAAAAATTATCATGAGGCTATTGTAGTAGTACCGGGGACACCACGGAGGATCTCTAATGAGAAAAAGAAGAACCTCATTTATTTGGCATATCGTGGACATTCTAAAATGGGCGATCAGATGCGGATGACCATCGTATATCAAACGCCACCGTTGATTGTAGTGTAGGATCATATTTTCACTCGAAACTCTATAGTGGACATTCAATGGACGTTGAATGGATATCGAAATTTGGAAACCTGAAAGGGAGATCCGTGAGAGGTGAGGGTTTAAAGTGTCTTAGAGTATAGAAATTGTCGAGGGGTAAACCGCGATGGGAAATCAGTGTACACGTTTGAGGAAATCTATGGGAAATCATAGGAATTCCGGAGGAACTCCTAGGAAAGCTAAGAATTCCAAGGAATTCCATGTGTATTCAGGAGGAATTCCAAGGAAATCACAGGAACTCCGAGGAAATCAAAAGAACTCGTGATGCATTTTATTATTTAATTTGGTCTTAACTAATTTTTAGCGCATTTCCACAAAAATAAAAAAAAATGCGCTATTGTGGCCACTTTGTCCGTCCGTCCGTCCGTCCGTCCGCTAACTTTGCGACGCTACTAGTTTTTTATCTTAAGAGCTATTGTTCTACTTTTTTCGCTATTTGGTTCGTTATGGTGTCGAGTCTTGTACCAAGGAAAGAATTTTTTCTGTACCGCTTACAAAAAAAGTTATTGTAAAAAAAACAAAAAACCGTTTTTTACATGTTCCATAATTTTTCACTTTTGCCGTTTATTAACGATCCTAGAGATCGTTTATAATTTTGCATTGCTATCTGTCGCCTGCCGGTTGGTCTCTCCGTCTGTTCCTTTGTCTGTTTGTCCATCTATCTGTCCGTGTGAACGATAACTTTGTTTAGAAATGTTCGATCGCTTTTACATCTCCGTTAGTTATGAACTGAATTGCATGAAATTCAATATGGGCATAGATTTAGCCATATAATACGCAATGCCAAAAGTTGAATCGAATCGATTCAAAATTCACAGTGCCCTTTTCGCATCTCGACCATTTATAAACCGAATTGCAAACTTTTTTACTTATAAAAGTATTTGAATGAAATTTGATACATAGGCACTTGGAATAAAGGAAAATCAAACGCCAATTTCAAAATTTGGTTTTGCGCATGCGCAGTGCCAACTTTTTTATTTATGGAAGAATTTAAACGAAATTTGATACATAGGCACTTGGGATAAAGGAAAATCAAACGCCAGTTTCAAAATTTGGCTTTGCGCATGCGCAGTGCCAACTTTTTTATCTATGGAACTATTTAGTGAAATTTGATACTTAGGCGCTTGGAACAAAGGAAAATCTAACGTTAGTTTTAAAATTTAGGTTTGCGCATCCGCAGTTCCAACTTTCTTATTTAGAAAAGCATTGAAATGAAATTCTTCTCATAAATTGAAATTGAAGTAGCACGTCAACAATGGATTGCCCATGTGCAACGCTATCTTTCACATTTGTGGCCGGATTTTTACGATTTTAACAGAAGTTGCATCTTACAAATGGGAAATGAATGCAAGTGGAAATGCGCGCTTTATGTAAATCGTTTACGATTACTTTTTAACTTGACACTTGACACTTTTATATTTTTTTGATGGTTTTACCTCGGGTTTTACTTACCAGGAAATTGTTAAATCAACGGAATAACAATGAAATAATTAAAAAACTTTAAAAAATCAGAGGAACTCACAGGAACTCCAAAAGAAAATCGAGGGAACTCCAAGGAAATAAGAGGTATTTCGTGGAAGTTGGAGGAACTCGGAGGAAATCAGGGAAACTCCGAAGAAATCAAATGAACTCTGAAGAACTCGAAGGAACTCAGAGGAAATCTAATATTTATAGGAAATCAGTGTACAAAATTTGGGTTGCGGTTTACCCCTCGGAAATTGTGAAAAGAATTAAATATTAATATTTTTGACATTTTAAATGTTTAAATTATGGGCCTAAAATACTGAAATATAAATTTTTTTAAATACGTCGGCAGTACTTAAAAATGCTAAACCTTTACAGTCAGAGACATTGAACTGTTCACGGTGTATTTTTCGTATTATCTTTCAAGTTATAGACCAAATTCATTCGTCCTAATGACGATCACAAACCTACAGTGGACGTTCCGTGAACTTTTCAAAATGAGCGATCGCATGGACATGATCATTGTGACTATTGAATCCAATTCACATCAATTATTCTGTTGAGGGCACATTGAAACAGTCACAAACAAAATCCGATTTTCAGTAGGGGAATTTTTTGACAAACACGACTTTTAATCTGGCTCGCATTCAACAGCACTGATCGAGGCACTGATCCTTGAACTCGTAAAAATCGATTGGCGAAGGTTTGACATCACTGTCTCTTTTCGTTTTCGAGTTAGACGAAGAACAGACAGACAGTTCTCGGTCTCTCTCTCTCTCTCTCTCATTGTTTGTTTTTCGTGTACCTCGTTGATTCGTTGGACATCCAAAAATGAGCGATCGCATTTAAATGTTCACTGCACATCAAACGCTAGCGATTGTCGTACGATACACGTACATTTTTCACTCGAAACCATAAAATGGACATTTAAATTTAATTTAAAATTTGCCATCGTTCTCCGGCGCGGCTTAATTAGAAGACACGAGTAATTCACATAGTTTGGTTGACTCAATTGTATTGAATTTTGAATATGAAAATGATACGCACAAGCTGTAATGTGCGTACCAGCTCACCATGTACGATATACATCCAATTTGATCTATTTTACGTTCAAAAATTAAAATTAGGCTGTGTACTGAAAAATCTGTCTATATTATAGGTAATGGACATTGCATGGATATTTTAAACAAATATTAAGCACAAACATCTACTGTAATTTGAAAATTAAGATGCTACGTACAACAGATGTCTTTTAAACATCCTAACAATATAACAAGTAACATTACTAGAATGTGCTAGTTCATTATATCGGGTGTGTCCGGAAAATATCGGTATTAGTCTCAAAATAAGAAAAATTATTCACATTCTATCCAGGGGAAAATCAATCGCAATTTGCGGACACGCCCCGTATGTGAACAATTGATTGTTCATTTCAATGCGACTTGTCAGTTACAATTGATATGACATTTGGCTCAAACCGTTGAATATTCACGTCCAGGGTATAAAATTAATGTACGTTACGTGTACCTCTCTGAACATGGTTCTGGACATCCAAAATACGTCCACATATGATACATGTTAACAAAAATCAACACAGTAGAGCATTGTGTGCATCTTCATATGGTCCATTGTCGTCAGATGTTGATGACAACATGGATATCCACAGGATGTTGGGTTTGAGGAATACGGACATTCTACTTCTGACACAAGGAAATGAATCCTTACCAATGGTAGTATATTTAAAGTTCATTTATGTGTTTATCGTGTGGATGGCACTCCCGACGTTTTCAGATCGAATCAACAGCCGTCTGTGACCGAACCGCAGTCGTGGTATGCCCTCCAAGGCGTGGGAGGAGATGTTCTGTACCACTAAAAAATGGCAAGTTATGGGATTCGAACTCAACACCTGTAAAGTTAGAGTTCGAGCCTTAAACCGTTACAACAAATTGACTTATTAGGCGTCTGAAAGGACTTGGTACATGAATGTGAAGTGAGAACCATACCTATCCAATAACTAATGAATGCGAAAAGGGTTACGTATGAAAAGGCCCACTTTTACTCGAAATGGTAATGTCCGTACAATGTCCACCGAATGTACACCAGCTCATACCGAGCCAATTGTATTAAGATCGAGATCACCGTGCTATCATCATAGTGTTTGTGTGTGTCAATTAGCCCCAACCTACCAGCAGTAAGAGCAGTCTATAATTTCAAGCACAGACAGCTGCAAGTATCACTTTATAATTACAAAAGCACGAACAAGCACTTGGCACTGTCTCTAACTTAAACTATCTTTACAGTTGACGCAAATTCTTACAAACTAAAAGCGTATACGTACTTCAAATACAAAGAAAAAAGCGTTTAAGCATAAGAAGCACAGTGCTCTGGTCCCATCACTGATTAAACAGCAACTGTAACTTACCGAAGGATGATGTAGTTGCGCCGCGCCACGTGTGGGTGAATCAACAGCAAACGGGCAGTGGCGCAAAGTGTAGCGAGCGAAGAGATATAGAAAAAACAAAACAAACAGTGCATGTAAAAAACTGTAGCAACCCGATGGCATACAAAAAACAAAACACAAATTTGCTCTTCTGACGTCGTATTGTTTTTTTTTTAATCGTCAAATATGTGGATAGACGTTGCTAACATATAAAAAATGTGCTGTTAGTAAGTGTAATAAAATAAGCCAATTATCGTTATTAATTTAATTAATTTGTAAAACAAAAATTGGTTCACTTACAACAAAATTCTTTATTACACAAAAAAACTTTTTTACTCACGTACGAGATCAAGACATGCAATGTATCTTCCCGTCGATCCTCTGACTTTTTAGTACTTACAATCGTTAGATATACTAAGACACTAAACATTTATGCGTGACGTAAGGAAGGCCGAGGATAGGTGGGTACCCAAACCGGATTTACAAGCTATAGCAGTGTGATGGCGCTGCGAGCGCCGATCAATCTGCCTGTTGTTGTGACGGTGGTGTAAGTGAAAAGCGGGGTTGTAAATGAACCAGTGTTCCAAGAATTAAGAACCAAGCGAGGGAGATTTATTCGTGTCAATCCACATAGGTAAAAAAACACACACACACACGCACAATACACCGACTAGCTACAAATCTAGAAAGTAGGTTCAAAGGTAACGTTCAGTAATAAGCCAAATTATAAACAAGCGTAACATGTGGTAGAGATTCACAACTTATATCAGTTGATACTTGAACAATAAGTATCCCCTCCCGGTCACAGTATAAGTAGTGATTAAACTAAAAGGATTAAAAACCAAAGCCTAAGTCGAATCGTGCATTAAACAAACCAATAAGTTTATAAAACCTGGCATCACCAGCTTAGTAATTAATTAATATCTGAACGCATTTCCAGTTCCTTAATTGTAACAGGATAAAATACACAAGAAATTATCAACAGCAAGTCGAAAAGATGAAACAATAAGTGAATAATAACCAAAGCACCATGCGGCATATCTAACTTTATAAAAAAAGGCAATTAATTATAAAAACAGAAATGTAAATATAAATGAATGAAGATAAAACTACAATCTACGAATGGAATGAGCTTGTATTCAACTTTTTTTTAAAGACCAGAATATAAGTTGGTTAGTGCATCAAGAACAAAAAAACGAAATCAAAAAACACCAGCAGCGGTTAATTAAAATTTTCTGCAAAAAATAAAATTCTCCTGCGCCTATTCATCCTTTGATCAAGAAACGGAACAAAGAAAAAAGTAATGCCCACACGAAATCAAAGAAGGAAAGAGTGAATAAGCGCCGAATTTCTTTAAAAAACCTCATTGCTCAAAAACATGATCAATTAATGCAGTGTTATCAATAAACTCGTTTTTTTAAGCTGCATGTTTTGTATAAACTTACCCTTACTTTTATAAACTATTTTTGGCTGTTTCGCTGTGTGGGGCGCGAATCCAAGGCGAATATAGATAAATAGTGAAAAATAGAAGTGTCAGAATAGAAGAAAAACATAAGCAATACGTGTGCATGGATTTGCCTTAGTGAGACTACGTTTTTAAAAATTTAGAAATCAGGTGCTGGATATTATGCAGTGCGATTAGAACAACCAAGACCTTGCCAGATCAAGAAATTGGAAACATTCGATATACAGAAATAGATGCTACTTGGGTCACACAATTAATAACATAAACACACGAACGAAAAACTGAACACAAGTTCGTCTAACGTTAACGTCGGTACACGTTCAAATAATTTGAAATAAGACACTAAAAAGTCAACACTTTCGGAGTTATTTTTTTTCTCTCTTAAGCTGTAGATTGAACTAAATAAATGCTAAAAATTATCAAAAAATGGGGAGAAATCAACAAAAAACTCATAAAGGCTAATACATCATCACTACGATTCAAAGCAAATACGTCATTATATAGAGAAATCGAATCTTACCATCTGAAATTCCAAGTAGCATTCGAAAGGTAAAAAAAATCTTTTTGAATTTTTAAGCTTTAAACTGCATTGTGTAAATTTAAGGCCAAAATTTGAGAAGAGATCTACTCGCTTATGTACACAAGCATTTAAAATTTGTAGGAACTCTTGTGTGAGTATGTGAAAGTGATGCGAAAATCATACATACCTTCCTCCAGTCCCTCGTCGCCGTCCGAAACCAATTCATCGTCCGAACAAATGTTGAGCACGTTTACTAACATTTCCGTAACCTTTTCACCTACAAACGGCAACGACCACGTGAACACGTCCATGAAATTCGGTAACCAGTACGGATGCGGTGAACAATTGAACTGGCGTATATTCATTACGTTATTTTCATATTTTAGTACTGCCGCCTAGAAAAATACAACGACACGTTAGATTAGGCAAACACTGTAAACTCGTGTTTTTACCGCTGCTTCTACAGGAATAGTACCATTTCACAGAGTAGTATTGCGGGGCGGCTCATTAGTAGTGCAATTTGAGGCACAAATCGGTAAAATAATGGTTTTTTTTCCCGTATTCCAATAAAAGCGAGTGCTACACGACTAAGGCAAACCCTCAATTAAGACTGCGAGAGGTCGAGAAGTTATGTGAGGGGAGCCAAAAGGTCCCCGGTCACAAAAAATATTTACCTTCCCTAACTTTACAGATTTAGCCGTTCTTGTTTTTAAACAGAAGTTGCTGTAATATTGCCTGAAAATATTGACGAATGGGGCAGACCGGATAAAAAACTAACTTTTTTAACTTTAAGAAGAACACTGCAAATGTGCAATAAAATAATGTTGGTGTTGCCATCAATAAAATGATTAATCAGTTAAGGAAGGAATTGTATTTGTTGTACAAGGTCTAGGATTAAAACTTTCAGTTTTTTTAGGTCCTTCGAATTTTTCAAATTATTCGCACCTTTTGATTCTTCAATTTCTTCCGATTCCTCTGCATTTCAGTTCATTGGATTTCCGGATAATTCACATTCATATTTCTTCAAATTCATTACATTCACATTCTTAGGACTACTACATGTTCTCCCAAATACGACTCTGCATTTGCCGCTGTTTCTTCAAATTATTCCAATTCATCAAGGCCTTAAGATCCCTAAAATTCTTCAAATTGTTATGCTTATGCGAATTCTTTTTTTTTTTATTCTGCAGGGAATCTAATCCCTGGATTCTTCGCATGCTTTCGTTTTTTCGGACTTCTTATATTCTTTCGATTCTTTCACCTTTGTCCAATTTTTCATATTATTCTAATCTTAGATTTTGTGGTTTTTCAAAATCTTTCAAGATCCTCCACGATTCAAACGATTGTAATTTTTTTTTAATTTGCTACCTCCTTCGGAGCCTTCGAATTCGTTACATGCAACCTGGATCTTTCAGCTTAATCTGGTTCTTCAAATTCTTTCGTATCTTTCGAACTACTCGATTGTTTTTATGAGTAATCCAATTCTTACGATTGTTTTCTTCAAATCCATTCCATGCGTACAATTTTTTGATTCTTCTTGTTCTCCGATTTTATAGTTTTTCAAATTCTTCAGATTCATTCCACCTTTAAGATTAAAGTTCTTAGAATCCTTCTGCTTCTTTAAATTCGTCGGATTCTTCAAATCATAATCATAAAATCCTGTCTTATTATTCTGCTGTTTTTTTTACATTCTTCAGATCAAAGAGTTTCTTTAGCTTATTTATTTCTTTGAGAATCTTCGAATCCGCTCCATGGTTCGTATTCTTCAGATTATTTGAACTCATATTCTTCTGTCTTCAAATCGGATTGCTATTGTTTCTTTAAGCGATGAAGCCCATTTTCATTTGTGTGGAGCACACGAGGAGGGCTAGACTTTTGGTCCCTAGTTCTCTGAGGAAAATGAAGTCGATAGGATTCTTTTATTTTTAGTTTCTGCAAATTCCTCACACCCGATTCTTGGGATTCGACATATTGTATCTCTCTTCAGATTGTCCATTTTCAAGTGGGTAAGATGCACCTGATTGTTCAAATTCTTTAAATCCATGAAATCCTTCACATTCCTGTTTCTTCGGAGTGTTCAAATTCTTTCTATTCTTCCACATTCGTCGAATTCGGTTTAATTGTTTACGCTTTTTAAGTTTCTTCAAATCCCCCATACATTTCCAATTCTGGAGGTTCTACATATTATAGATCTTCGGATTGTGCATTTTAAAGCTCTTGAGAATCCTGCGAGTACCATTTCACAGAGTAGTATTGCGGGGCGGCTCATTAGTAATGCAATTTGGGGCACAAATTGGTAGAATAAATGTTTTTCCCCTACTCCAATAAAAGCGAGTGCTACACGACTAAGTTGTACTTTGCAAAACCCTCAATTAATACTGCGAGAGGTCGAGACGTTATGGGAGGGGAGCCAAAAGGTCCCCGGTCTCAAACCTTCTCTAACTTTAAAGATGTAGCAGTTCTTGTTTTTAATCAGAGGTTGCTGTAATATTGCCTGAAAGTATTGACTAATGGGGCACAGGATAAAATTACTAATTTTTTTAACTTTAAGAACACTGCATATGTGCAATAAAATAATGCTGGTGTTGCCATCAATAAAATGTTTAATCAGTCTAACTTTAAGGAAGGAATTGTATTTGTTGTACATCAAAATTGAACTTACATCGATCTAATTAATATTGGCAGAAAGTTGAAAAAGGGGAAGGGCGAATATAAACTAACCCCAGCAAGCAACATTTGCGACGAGTGTTGCGGCATCTAAAAAACCCAAGCAGAATCAAATTCTTCATTCTTTAATGTCTCCAGATTTTTTCACACATCAGACGTTTGGAACTTTTCAAAATCCCGACATTTTTTAGCCCTTCAGATTCGCCCCAACCTTCAGTAAAATTGCTCAGATCCATAAAATTCCTTGGATTATTGAAATTCTTCTGATAGTTTCGTTTCTTCTACTTTCTATTCTTCCAGATTCGTCCATTTCTTCGAACGATAGGTTCTACATATTTTTCAAACTCTTTCAACGACATATCGGTACAGTTATCAATTTTTTTTTAATTCTTCCCGAGCCTTCGAATTCCATTCCACGTTTCAGATCATTCAAATTATTCGTATTTTGTGACCCTTCAGTTTCTACTAATTCTTCAAATAATTCGAATGTTTCAGATCCATTTTTTGCCAATGTTCACGTTTCTCTCACAATTTTTCAGCTCCTTCGGATTCTGCCGATTGTTCATTTCCTACAAGTTCATCTGCTTCTTTAAATTCTTCCGATTCTTTAAAGTCTTCAGATTCATAAAATTCTTCATATTTTTATACTCCTGTGGATTCTTCCCTGGATTATTTTCGTCCGACTATTCAGTTTCTTTAAAATTTTCTTGGGATTTGTACCAACTCCTTTAAGATATCTCATTCTAGGTCTAGGATTAAAACTGTTTCAGTTTATTTGGGTCATTCGAATCTTTCGGATTTTTCAAATTATTCACACTTTTTGATTCTTCAATTTCTTCTGATTCTTCTGTATTTCAGATCATTGGAGTTTCCGGATAATTCACATTCATCTTTCTTCAAATTCATTACATCCTCAATGTTCTGCCAAATGCGACTCTTCAATTGCCGCTGTTTCTTCAAATTATTTCAATTCTTCAAGGCCTTAAGATCCCTAAAATTCTTGAAATTGTTATGCTTATGCAAATTCTTTTTTTTATTCTGCAGGGAGTCTAATCCCTGGATTCTCCGCATGATTTCGTTCTTTCGGGCTTCTTATAATCTTTCGATTCTTCCACCTTTGCTCAATTCTTCATATTATTCTAATCTTAGATTCTGTGGCTTTTCAAAGTCCTCCACGAGTCAAACGATTGCAATTTTCGGAACCTTCGGATTCGTTACATGCAACCTGGATCTTTCAGTTTATTCTGGTTCTTCAAATTCTTTCGTATCTTTCGAACTCCTCGATTGTTTTTATGAGTCATCCAATTCTCAAGATTTTCTTCAAATCCGTTCCATGCATATAATTATTCAGATTATTTTAACTTTTTTGATTCTTCAGTTTCTTCTCCGATTTTCTAGTTTTTCCAAATTCAGAGTCATAAAATTCTGTCATTATTCTGCTGATTTTTTTACATTCTTCAGATCAAACAGTTTTTTTTAGCTTATTTATTTCTTTGAGCCCATATTTCGTATTCTTCAGATTATTCGGACTCCTCACATTCTTCATGTCTTCAAATCGGATTGCTATGGTTTTTTTTCGCGATGAAGCCCATTTTCATTTGTGTGGAGCCCGTGAGGAGGAGTTTGACTTTTGGTCCCTGGTTCTCTGAGGAAAATGAAGTCGACAGGATTCTTTTGTTTTTAGTTTCTGCAAATTCCTCACACCATTCAGATTCTTGGGATTCGACATATTGATATCTCTCTTCAGATGCACCTGATTGTTCAAATTATTTAGATCCATGAAATCCTTCACATTCCTGTTTCTTCGGAGTGTTCGAATTCTTTCTATTCATTCACATTCTTCAGTTTCTTCTAAATCAATGTGTCCACGATACAAACTTTGTCGACTTTCAAATTCTTCAAATCCATAAGATGCCATTGATTGCACGTTCTTCAATTTCTTTCAATTCTTCAAAGCATTAGGATCCCATTCCTTCGGTTTAATTGTTTACCGTTTTTAAATTTCTTCAAATTCCCCACACATTTCCAATTTTGGGGGTTCTACATATTATAGATCTTCAGATTGTGCATTTTAAAGCTCTTGAGAAACCTGCAATTCTTCAAATTCTTCATATACAGAAAATCATTAGCATTCGTTTGTCGGGTATATTACATTCTTTGTATGGTTCTTCAAATTCTTAAAACTACAGATCTCCGGATTTTTCAACAGCGTTCAAGATATTTCATTGTATGTCCATGAGAGTTTTTTTGGTTCCTTCGAATCCATTTGGTGCTTCGGATTCTTCAGACTTTTCTGGTTCTGTTTCGCGTTGATCACACTTTAATTTCTTCATATGTTTTAAAATCTGTTATTTCTTTCGATTCTTCAGTGCCAAGTATTCGCTCATTTCTTTCAATTCTTCAATTTTTTAATTTCTTTATATAATTCAGATCCGCTAGATCATTCAAATCCTTAAAATACCCGCAGATTATTCCTTCGAATTCCACAAGGTTTTTATAGTCACAGAATTCTTCTTCTTCCCTTTTTATTCTTCATATGTTTATAGTTCTGCTGATCGTCCTATTCTGCAGATTCGTAGGATTTTTCGGATTTTCCATCTCTCCGATCTTCAAATTTTTGATTGGATTCTTCAAATTTTCAATTTCTTTCGATTCTTCGGCTCCTTCAGATTCTTCTAATTGTCACATTCTTTAAACACTCCACCTTGATATTATAGGTGTTCTTCTGTTCATTCAAATTAAATTCTTTTTTTTGAATTCTTCACTTACTTTGGATCAGCTGATTCGGAAATTCTTCAGATGTTTCATTAGATTCTTAAAAATCTTCAAATTCCCTTTCGTCTCCAAATTCTTTAGCTGTTCCAGATTAGTAGAATACTTCAAATACTTCTGATGCTTCAAAATTATCCGATTAGGTAGATATTTTTCTGACGTTTCCATTCTTCGAATGCTTTCCGTTCCTTTGATCTATTCACTATTCAGATTCGTTCAGATTCCTCCGGCTTTAAATCTCTTCCGAATGCTTAAAATCTTCTCTTCTTCGGTTCTTTAGATTTAGATTTTTGGATCCTTTCAGTTCTTCAATTGCTTTATATTTATTGAATACTAGCAGACCCGGCGAAATTCGTGCCGCCTTTGGGAAATCTCGTTTTCCTGGCTGGGACATACGTAACCGCCTCACCTCGCGCGCCCAGAGGGAGAGAACTAAAAATAAAACGTCGTAATGGAAAAATCGAGCAATTTGATTTGGAGTATTAAACCGTTAAAAGAAAACGCACGGTTAAAATATCATGAATTTTAAGAACAGCTTAAAACAAACCTGCAGAACGAAGAGCCGGTTAGTCTAAAATATGGTAATAAAACATGTGAACTTAACAAAATCATCGTTTAAACAACCGAAATACAAAGAAACCAGCAAATTCCGACTCAGTTATAGTGAGCAGAATCCGACCCCTCGCACAGGTAACTGGTCCCTTGTTCGGCATATACCAGCCTACATGAGAAGTAAAAATAGGGCACGATCAATCACAAATGGAATGGACAAATGACTAATGAGTATCACTTCAAGTGCCAACGCACGAAATACGTTCCTAGTTTTTCTATTTAAATAAAAAAACGAAAGGTATTGCACTTTACCAACCCTCAATTAGACGATGGCAATTTAGTTCATGCCGAGAAAACTCAAGAGCTTAATTAAAATTTTCTGATTTCACACGTTTTCGCGTAAACAAGTTGACGTGCCGTAAGGGTCATTAGTATCGCTTTCCCAAAGGAAACTGGAATTTTCTTTCTCCTACTGTCTTTAACGAGAAGCTATTTGAACAAAAATACAATTTAAAGTTTTTGAATGTCGCTTCAAAGGTCGATACACGAGGCACGGAAAATATATAACAAAATTCGCTTTCAATCAAGCTCTGCCATAACTCCATTACGAAAATTACGAACCGGAACGAAAATGGTGAAAAATAATGAGTCATTCCCTTAAGTACCGGCTTTCTTTGCCATTACATTTTTTTTTTCCAAATCTATGCACCATCACCTGTTACGTTTATGAGAGAAAACTTCATTACACGAGTACGGATTTATGACGTCGTATAAGTGGGGTTTGCTGTTGGGGTCAAATGGGAATTGCCGGGGCTTTCAATTAAAGTTAGGGCATAAAATACATTGTTGTTTCGATTATTCGTTTTACGGTTACTCGAGTAATTCTCGACATCGCCCCCAACAAGAGACGATCCTTAAACTTACCTTGTTATTGTAGACGTCCAGGTAATTTGGCGCCGAGAAAATTGTGATAAGGGATGGGAAACCTGTAGTCTGGCTTTTTCTATACATGCGATACCTGAAATTAATTTCATCGTTAGTATCGTGCCGGATTTTTTCCAACAATAAATCAACAAGATGATATATACGAAGCCGAAAATACAAAACCGCCGGGTAAATTTGTACGCTTCAGGAAGACGACGCGCGTCCCACATTTCCGGCAACGCAAATTGTTTCGAAAGAAGCTTTTACATTTATAATGCAACAACGTTACACCGAAACCTCCTGCTTTAATCTAGTAGGGTAGCTTAAAACGGCAAGAAAAAGGTTCCTTTATCTTTCGCGTACGATCTAAACGTAATTAATATGCAAGTGCACTTTGTTCTACGCAAACAAGTCCGCATTAACATTTTATCGCGCCACTTGCATTTTAAGTAGTTTATTTTTTAAATTATGTTTATGCATTAGGGTAAAATTCTCGCATGTATTTAACTTTATCGAAATTGAGCAGAAAGGCGTCCGCAAAAAATTATCAGATTTTTTTGGGAACCGCAACGTGTATAAACAAAAAAACAAGATGAGTAATCTGCCGATGGGTAGTAATTTGGGGCGCAAAAACTCATTCACCGCTAAATCTCGACAGAGAAACAAGGCCGTGTAGTAATGGATCCACCTACCCTATCTTTGTCGTTATTTTCGTGTACAGAATCGTGTTATTCTTTAACAACTTTAAATCGATAACTCGTACAGGATTATTCTAAGTAGCTTTGTACAGTGCCAGTACAGACGTTTTGAGGACTAGAACGAAAAAACGCGAATTGCAGCATGAATGCGATGACCCACGATATCAGCCGATAATGTGGTCATGATCCGTAAATGCTATAACCTAAAGCTGCTCTACCATTATCGGAATGACTTCAAACCCATGACCTACAGTTGTGTCTATTTTGTCCGCCGGTGTAATGCTAAACACCAACTGCTCGTATCGGCATAAACAGCGTTAACTCTTTGCATTTCTTTGTCAAATTTGAAATGCGTAACTTGTCATTTTTTAAGAGTAGCTCAAGTTAAAATTGAAATATCCAAGCACGCACCGTTTATAGCTATTGCGCATGTCCATGTATGTTCCCACTTGCGCATGGGCAGTCGGAGGTAGAATAAGGCCTGCATATGTGCACTCTTCGAACAACAATCGAACGAGAACAAGATCAAGATTTATGTCGTCGTAGTTCGTACAACCATCAATAATAATGAACGTGCTTGTTAAGAAGCAGCACGTCATTTTCGTCTAACATATTTGTAAATGACCATGAATTTTGTCCTAGCTGCCGTTTACCCTACCGTAACCTACACTGTCGCTGCTACATAGTGCAATCAACGCCATCACCGCCATCGTCAACCGGCTTCGTATGTTTATTTGCACCTGCTTCTCAAAAGACAGAATTCGAAACAACAATAAGTAAGTCCTTTCGTCATTATTCCAATTTCTAGTACAAATCATGTCGCTAAACAAGATTTAGAATCAATTAATTTTATTTGTATTTTTAATCAATAAATGCGTTGATCATTCGTGTGGATATTCTTTCATCCCTCGTAAGCAATTGCATTTTATCTACAGTCCATTAAATATCCAAGCTTTGTACGCAACAATTTTACTTATATTTCTTTTTCTCAGAAAAGAAATAACGGAAATGAGAGAAGAGTTTAAAAAGGAAATGCGGGAACTGAAGAGGCAAAATCAAGAGAAGGAAGAAAAATGGAACAAAGAAACACGAGAACTAGAGAAGAATAGACAAACTAGAATGGAGACTGGAAAAAGAGGAAATGATGAAGAAAAAAAATAACGTTATAATTAAAGGAGGAGCAAATAATATTAAGAAAACCGACGCAATAAATTTCCTAAGAAATGAATTAAAAATAAATATTTCTACTACAGAAGTCCGTACAATACAAAATAGAGAACGAAAAATAAGGATTCTAATAAAATGTACAAATTGGGAGGGAAAAATGGAATCATGAGGAACAGACAACAAGCCCTAAGAGATAAAAAGGTATATATCGATAACGACCTGATGTTTACAGAAAGAGAACTGCAAAAGAAGTTCAGAGCAAGGATGGAGGAGGAAAAAGAAACAAGTTAAAAAGTAATCGTAAACGATTTACATAAAGCGCATTTCCACTTGCATTCATTTCCCATTTGTAAGATGCAACTTCTATAAAATCGTAAAAATCCGGCCACAAATATGAAAGATAGCGTTGCACATGGGCAATCCATTTTTGTCGTGCTACTTCAATGTCAGTTTATGAGAAGAATTTCATTTCAATGCTTTTCTAAATAAGAAAGTTGGAACTGCGCATGCGCAAACCTAAATATTAAAACTAATTTACTATAACTAACTAATAAACTAAGATTTTCCTTTGTTCCAAGCGCCTAAGTATCAAATTTCACTTAAATAGTTCCATAGATAAAAAAGTTGGCACTGCGCATGCGCAAAGCCAAATTTTGAAACTGGCGTTTGATTTTCATTTATCGCAAGTGCCTATGTATCAAATTTCGTTTAAATTCTTCCATAAATAAAAAAGTTGGCACTGCGCATGCGCAAAACCAAATTTTGAAATTGGCGTTTGATTTTCCCTTATCCCAAGTGCCTATGTATCAAATTTCGTTTAAATTCTTCCATAAATAAAAAAGTTGGCACTGCGCATGCGCAAAACCAAATTTTGAAATTGGCGTTTCCACGTTTGATTTTCCTTTATTCCAAGGGCCTATGTATCAAATTTCATTCAAATACTTTTATAAGTAAAAAAGTTTGCAATTCGGTTTATAAATGGTCGAGATGCGAAAAGGGCACCGTGAATTTTGAATCGATTCGATTCAACTTTTGGCATTGCGTATTATATGGCTAAATCTATGCCCATATTGAATTTCATGCAATTCAGTTCATAACTAACGAAGATGTAAAAGAGATCGAACATTTCTAAACAAAGTTATCGTTCACACGGACAGATAGATGGACAGACAGACAAAGGAACAGACGGAGAGACCAACCGGCAGGCGACAGATAGCATTGCAAAATTATAAACGATCTCTAGGATCGTTAATAAACGGCAAAAGTGTAAAATTATGGAACATGTAAAAAACGGTTTTTTGTTTTTTTTACAATAACTTTTTTTGTAAGCGGTAAAGAAAAAATTCCTTCCTTGGTACAAGACTCGACACCATAACGAACCAAATAGCGAAAAAAGTAGAACAATAGCTCTTAAGATAAAGAACTAGTAGCGTCGCAAAACGAGCGGACGGACGGACAGACGGACGGACAGCCGGACGGACGGACGGACAAAGTGGCCACAATAGCGCATTTTTTTTTTTGTGGAAATGCGCTAAAAACGATGCGGAAACACGAAAATGGAATACAAGAAAGAAAAATGATACTAAAAGATGTACGATGGAGAATTGTTTACATTATACAATCACATGATTATGAAAAGGATAGTGGACGAGCTGAACAACACAAAAGAAGAATCGAAAGATGACGTTATAATAATAGGAGGGGATCTAAACGCGCGGATAGGCAAGGAAGGGTCATGGGTCGCTCGCACAGAAGAAGAAGACAACAACATAATATCAAAAGAAAAAGGGTAGTACATCCTCAACGGAAACGTGAAAGGAGACGAAGAGGGAGAATATACATACATAGTAAGCAGAGGGCAGTCGGTAATAGACTATTATATTCTAAATGAAAAAGGAAAAGAACACAAAAAAATTTCAAGTAGACCAAAGAATAGAATCCGATCACCAACCAATATCCAGAACCATGAAAGGCAGTGCTCACACCCATACAGAAAACAAACAAAAGAAATTACAAAAATGAGACAAATCTGGACAGAACAAACAATAGAAAAATACAGAAAACATCTAAATCAGATAGAATCCAAAGAAACTGAATGTGATGCTGCACTAGAAGAAATCAAAAAGGCAAAACTAAAGCGGTGACAGAAAAAACATCAAAAATACACAACTGGACACCAGGAAGAAGCAATTGGTGGGACACAGAATATCAAGAGAAAAAACAAATTACAAAAAAAGCCCTAATGGATTGGAAAACAGGAAAAGACACAGGCGAAGAGTACAGAACAAAGAAAAAAGAACATAAGGATACATGCAAACGCAAAAAAAGAAGAGTTACAAAAAGAGGAAATAAGAGAAATACAAAGCATCAAAAACGAAAATGAAGTGTGGAAATTTATAAACAAAGGGAGGAAAAATAAAGAAGGAATACAGGACCACATTGGAGAAGAAGAAAGGGAAAAACTACTTTATACAAAGTTTAAACGGACAGATAAGCTTCAGAGGGGAAAAACCAAAAAGAAGAAGTGAAAGGGAGGATGAAAAAATAGGGGAAGAAGAAATGGAAGTAGAAATATCAAAGATGAAAAAAAAGAAAGCTCCTGGACCAGACCATATAACAAATGAGATGATAGTACATGCGCCGGAAAACGTGAAACGGCAAATCAGAAAAATTATTAACAGGGTATGGAGAGGTAGAGGATTTCCGAAAAGTTAGAAAGAAGGAGAAATATGCCCAATATAAAAAAAAAACAAACAAAGATGACATCAAAAACTAGGGGAATCACACTCCTAAACTCAACATACAACCTTTACGCTAAAATACTAAATAACCGCTTAAATGAAGAAGTAGAGGACAAAGAAATACTAGATGAAACACAAATGGACTTTAGGAAGGGAAGGGGGACGATAGACAACATATACATAGTAAATCACGCGGTACAACAAGAACTGGAAAATAAAGAAGGTAAAGTCTACGCCCTTTTCATAGATCTAAAAGCAGCATTCGATAATCTAGATAGGAACGGATTATAGAAGAGCTTGGAAAAGAGAAATATCGACAGCAACACAATAGAGAGGATTAAAGAAATCTATAGAGAAACAAAGAGTAAAGTTAAAATCAATAACAAAAACACAAGACTATTTTTGGACGGAAAATGGAGTCTGGCAAGGATGTCGGCTAAGTGCAACCCTTTTCAACATTTATGTGGCGGACCTGGAAGAAGTATTAA